TACCTGATTTTTCTAAAACATTTGAAATTGAATGTGATGTTTCAGGTCTAGGCATATGTGTTGTTCTTATGCATGAGCAAAGACCAATAGCTTATTTCGGCGAAAAGTTGAGTGGGCCACCTTAAACTATCCAACTTATGATAAGGAGATGTATGCATTGGTTAGAGCCTTGGAAACTTGGCAGCACTACCTTTGACCTAAGGAGTTTGTGATTCACACTGATCATGAGTCCTTGAAGCACTTGAAAGGTCAACACAAGCTAACCAAAAGGCATGCTCGTTGGGTGGAGTTCATTGAGACATTTCCTTATGTCATTCAATACAAGCAAGGTAAAGAAAATGTGGTTGCTGACGCTCTTTCTCAAAGGTATGCATTACTATCTACTCTTGATGCAAAGTTACTTGGTTTTGAACATATTAAAGATTTATACATTGATGAAGTTGATTTTTGTAATGAATATCAAGCTTGTGATAAAACTGCTTGCGGTAAATTCTTTAAACATGATAGGTTTCTATTTCGAGAAAATAAGTTGTGTTCCTAAAAGTTTTTTGCGAGAATTGCTTGTACAGGAATCTCATGGAGGGGGATTAATGAGACATTTTGGAGTTGCAAAGACTTTAGTTGTTTTGCAGGAACACTTTTATTGGCCACACATGAGGAAGGATGTTGAGATGATTTGTGGTAGGTGTGTCACATGTCGACAAGCTAAATCTCGAGTGCAACCCCACGGTTTATATACTCCTTTACCAATTCATAATGCATCTTGGATTGATATTTCTATGGACTTTGTGCTAGGTTTGCCTAGGACTAAACGTGGTAGAAATTCAATTTTTGTGGTGGTGGATCGATTTTCCAAAATGGAACATTTTATTCCAAGTCACAAAACTGATGATGCTTCTAATATTGCAGATTTGTTCTTTAGGGAGATTATAAGATTACATGGCATGCCTAGAGAAATTATTTCAAATAGAGATCCTAAGTTCTTGAGTTACTTTTGAAAGGCCTTGTGGTGTAAGTTAGGAACCAAATTGTTGTTTTATACTACTTGTCACCCACAAACCAATGGTTAAACTGAAGTAGTAAATAGGACTTTGTCTAATTTGTTAAGGGCAATCATAAAGAAAAATATCAAAACATTGGAAGATTGTTTACCACATGTTGAGTTTTCTTATAATAGGGTTGTTCATTCTGCTATTAAATTTTCAGCTTTTGAAATTGTTTATGGTTTTAATCCTTTAACGCCATTTGATTTAATTTCATTACCTGTTTCTGAGCATGTTAACTTGGATGGTAAGAAAAAGGCTGAGTTTGTAAATCAGATACATGAAAAGACACGATTGAATATTGAACAAAGAACAAAGTAATATGAAACACATGCCAACAAGGGGCGACACAGAATGATTTTCGAACCTGGAGATTGGGGCTGGTTACACATGAGAAAGGAAATATTTTCAGAACAAAGACAATCCAAACTACTTCGAAGAGGAGATGATCATTTCCGAGTACTTGAGCGTATCAATGACAATACCTACAAGCTGGATCTAACAGGTAAGTATAATGTGAGTGTCATTTTCAATGTTACTGATTTAAGTCCTTTTGATGCAAACACTGATTTGAGGACAAATCCTTTTCAAGAGGAGGGGAATGATGCAAATGATAGCATGGATGACCATGAGACTTCAAGAAAAGATTTAATTCAAGTTCCATAAGGGCCAATTACTAGATGTCGTGCAAAGAGGGTGAAAGAAGCTCTTAATGGATTAATACAGGAGGCTTGACTCAAGCCAATTCATGGGGATCTAAGGAGAAAGAGCCACAAAGATTTGTCAACTTATTCCAAGCCCAAGGATAAAGGAGTTATATTATTATGGCTGGATATTTGGTATTTTTTATTGCAGTTTAATAATGATTTGCATGTCAACTTGATATAGTTTTTCATTTGTCTTGGAAGATATTTTTTATCTTCTCTTTTGTTTGCTTGTAAGTTTTAGTCTATATATAAGCCTTACTTCAAATGAGAAATGGACTTTTGATTCTTGCCAAAAAAAACTTGCATTTGAGTTATCTCCCACAATTTTCTTAAGATTCCAACAGAACTCTAGGTCATCGCCTAAGGAGTTCTTTCTCGATTTATCAAGTGGATTTTCACCCCGTTTGTGACGTCTTCCATTGTATCAAGGTTCTTTCCTCACGTCAAACATAAGGTTGCGGTCTTATACCAACATTCTTGTTTGCGTTGAGCATTGGGTCAAGGTTTACCTCTATCCATCCATTTTACCATCAGGTTATAACTATAATTCAATTTGCTCCAGCCTTGTGACGATTTTATTGTTTGGTTTCTTGCATCTCATAAGAATTTCCATCAATTCTTTTCGGTTTTGGCATAACAAATCTGATTTTCTAATAAGAACATCAATCCATTTTCTAATAAGAATTCTAATAAGAACATCAATCCCCACGATCATGTCTTGCATATATGCATATCAAACTTCAGATGGGAAGATGTAGGGAAGGAAGCCCCTGAATCCAGTATCCAGTTATCAACAGAATTGTGAACTGTCTGCAATAACGCATCATGTATTTCTTCAGTTGCAACATTAACGTTATCATTCTCATTTTTCTTGGAATTCCTGCAGTTCGTTTTTTATGCGACAATTCCAGCAGGTTGTCTGCTGACTATACTTTGATGTTCATCTTCCTCTATTTGAGTTATTGTCTTATGATCTCCCTCTAAAATCAATATTCAGTGTTGAACTCGAACCCGATGTATCACCAGAATCTTTCATGCACACCTCCTCAGCCAAAATCAAATCACGAATATCATCATATTTCAGTTTAGATTTACCTGCAAAAATCTTAACTGTCATCCTCATGGTTTTCCAGTTATTTAGCAATGAAGTCAACAATATCAGGGCACGTATCTCATCGCAAAATCAATTTTCACAAACAACAATTGATTTTTGATGATATTGAAATCATTCAGATTGAGCAACAGACACACCTTCCGTCATCTTCAAATTAAATAACTTTTTAATCAAATGAATCTTGTTATTCTCTGATAGTTTTTCATACATATCTGATAAAGCTGTCATGAGATTTGCATTCGTCTTTTCCTTGATCACGTTGTGGGCAACGGATCTCGATAGAGTTAATCGAATAACCCCTAGAACATGTCGATCCAACAGATTCAATTCCGCCTTGTCCATCTTCTCCGGTCGTTTTCCTAGTAACGGAAGATGAAGTTTCTTCTCACGGAGTTAGTCCTCTATCTGCATCCTCCTGTAATCAAAATTTGTGTCATTAAACTTCTCGATCCCCGATGTCATCACTTCGTCTCCGATTATCATTTTTTTTAGCCTCGAACCAAAGCTCTGATACAAATTGTTGTGAAAAACGGCAATAATAAAATGAAAAATTGGAATGAGAAAATTCGAAAAACGGACACACAGATTTAAGTGATTCGGCAAATTGTCTGCGTTCACGGAGTTGCAGAGGATTTTATTAGCTTGAAAAATTACACCGTCGAACGTCTCGACGTTTACAATAATGACTCTCTCTCTCTCTTCTCTTTCTCTCCTCTCCTCTCTCTACCCGTGAACCATGCGAGGAGAAAAAAAAACTAGGGAAAGCTTGAGGCTTGCGATCCTTTCCCTGTAAAACCAATACCCGAGAGAGATTACAAGAAGAGTTGTAACATGTCTATTTATTACTTTTATCATGCCCATTAAGGAATTAATCAAATAATTAATGAAACTCGTTAATTATTTTATTTTTTCTTCTACAGCAAATCATAGATGGTGGGATTCATGCAATGAAAACTGTAGAAACTCCAAGGAAGGATGTAAGAGCGAATAATTTTGCAATTAATTTTGATTATCAAATCAAATTTGTTGTCAGACATAAGAAAGTGTCAATTTGAACATTGGACCGGTTTTCTTATTCACAACAGATTATTCTACTTCAGGGGCCACTACCAATCTCACAAATTAGAGAAGAGATCTATTAGTGCGCCTTGTTTCATCGCAAGCACCCATTTAGTTTGAACTTGCATCACTCAAGTTAACCCTAAGAAAATATTCAAACAAAAAGAACTATACAACACTCCAAGTTTCAAAACTTATTAAGCACCCATTAAGCATGTAATCCCAACCCTAACCCTAACCCTAACCCTGTAAGTATAACTACAACCCCCCTACAAACATACATCAAAAACATCCTTGAGAGCACCTCATAAAGATTAAATGAGAAATGGATAAAAATTTGGAGAGAAAATGTAGCATGAATCAGCATTCAATTGTTTTAACTCAAGTCATAATCTGGTTTTTCTATAATTATTACTAACAAAGATAGGAGTGTAACAATGGAAAATGCTTCTAACAGGCAAAAGATCTCTTGCCATTATGTTTCATGCATTTTCACCTCATGGGCATATCGAAACATTGCTACTATCTCATTTAGTTACTAACACTGTCAGAGATAACTCATAAACCTACAAGAGCAACATAGGAAATGATGTTTTAGTGATGAGCACACAATGAGTTGTTTTTTTATCTAGAACTTTAATTCCAAAAAAGACCCATTAGGCATCTGTCAAGACACCACTTCTTTACTTTATGAATAGCCATGGGAACAGATGATGAATGAGATAACCTAAGTGATTTTGTTTAAATAGTACGCCTAAGTCATAAAAAAAAAAAAAAAAAAAAAAAAAAAAATCACATGCCGAGGTCTATCTTCTGTGACACCATCAAATCACTTCCATAGAGTTCCATTTTATCCAAGAGATTAGTAGAATAGAGGTGTCATGTAAAAACCAACCTCCTTAGACAAAAAGAAGCAAAGACAAGTTAATTTTCTGCATTTAATGAACCCCAGAAATAGGAGACACATAAAACATTGAGATTATAAGAGAAGAATCACAAGTTCCTTGTTAATCAAGGCCCAACATGCATAAACGTGTGCGCAAATCAATACAAGTTCAGTTCGCCGATGAAAATTACCATCAATAAAATCGGTTAACTGGGTGAGGAACGCATTGACCTGGTCCTTAAACAGGAACCCCGCTGCGCCGAAACCACCGACAACACCAACAAGGAGGATTCCCGCGATGATTGTTCCCTTGAGAGCGTTCTCCCCGGTCAAGGCACCCTCCCCATCATCGGAAACTATACCGTCTTCCCTCCGTCCCTTCCTCTTATCGAACCATTGGTTCTGTGGAACATTTGTAGAAACCTTGCGTATGGTTACCTTCTTCGTCTCGCGGAGGGAGAACAGCGGGCGGAACGCAAGGAAGCGTTTTGCAGGACGGAGGGAGGAGAGGAGGAAGGAGCAGGAAGGGAGGGAGAGGAGAGGGGAGGAGGAGGAGCATGGAGATGGAGACCTCATGGCGGAGAAGAGGGAGGTTTTATTGGAAGAGGAGGAGGAGGGGGGATTGGTTTGGTGGCAGTGGAAGACCGGAATGCCATGCAGCATGGGAGGATTTTCACTTGCGACGGAGTTCTCTGCTTCGTCGGTGATAAGAGAAGGATTTTCGAAGAAGAGCGCTTGTCCACGTGTATGTAGATGGTGAACCGGTTCGATCTTTCCGGTATAACCGAGCCGGACCGGTCTCCGGAACAGAACCGGCCTTATGTTTGATTTTAGTATTTAGGGCCCCACAGTGTGTGATGTATGATGCCGCATTTTATTTCCTCGTGTTTTGTAAAATTACATTTTATTTGTTTTTTTTTTAATTATCATGAAAAGTTACATTTTGCAAACTCAATAAACTAAACGATTTTTTGAAAATAAAAAAAATGATAGTCATCATAACTTTTTAAAAAGCTATTTCTTTTTATGATTATTTAACAGTTATTTCTTCAAATGGCTCTAGCAGCTCCAAATAGATTCTTAGCTTCTTTTCACGCGAAACACGTAATAGGGCAATCGATTCGTGGATGCTCTTTGATAGGATTTTTATGTCATGCTGCTACTGTAACTGTGGTTCATATTTTAGACTCAAATTTTTCCATCTTTAGAGTATAATAAACTAAAGACTCACTAGGTTTTTGTTTCTCAACGATCAAGTCACTAATTGTAACACCACAACATACCTTTTCAATAATAAATACTCAAGTTCAGAGAAAGTCTTGTCAGTATAAAATAGAATTTTATAGTTTTTATTGTCTCATTCTATTAGGGTTTATCTTCTATTGATTGAGGCATACAATATAGTATGTGTTAGAATTTCAAAAAAGATGAAACTCTTTTATATAATGGTTTTACTAAATGGTCGAGGAGGTTTTGATTGTATTTTTTTTAATGTAATGGTCTTGCGTTATTGGATGTTTTGTTAAATATAAATTAAAATAAATTTATTTTTATGTGTTTTGAAGATATCAAGCAATTTATATTTTATGTATTTAAAATTCACATAAATGACAAATATGTTATGCTATACAATTCACACAAGCTCACTTGTGACTTTTCTCAACCTCATTCGTGATCTCATAACTTCTTTATGTTTTCGTTTTCACTAGGATCAAATTTTTTCTGTGAATTTGCTACAACCCCAATGCAAACATAACTTTGCCTCTACAATCGAACATAACTCCACTATGTATCCAGTGTCACTGTATCCAATGTCACTGGCAATCAGCGACCAAAGCTTCAGAGTTTTTTTGTGGCTTATGTGAATTTGGCCGAGGCAAGGAGTTCAGCGGTTTGGATCGCGACAGAGAGGCGAACTGCGACATCTCGGATTCGCGATGCATAGAGATTCTTTGCAGACGGGAGGCGCTTGCGAAGAGGCTTCAGTTGCAAGCAGTTTGGCGATGACGTAGAGAAAGTTCAGCTGACGTTCTCGACACATAAAAGTGAATCGCGATTCTGCTGCAGGGCTTTCTCGCATGATCAGGCGAGAAGACAAAGTTCACAGAGGAGGTTGCGAGGAGTTCAGCTTCGAGGAGTCGAGGAATTCTGCAGAGGATCTTCCGTTTGCGACACATGAGTTCGCGACACAGGAGATCACGAGATCAGGCGCAGGGAGAAGCGGTTCGGGCAGCTCTCTGTTCGGCGTGGAGACAGTCGGGCGGCGGATCGCTGGAGCATAGTTAGAAGGGAATATTCTCTTTCAAAAAATAGTCGCCGAAAAAGAAATCCGATCGAAGTAAAAATGACGGCGTACAAAGGCCTACATCCCTCATACTCGGAGAATATTATGTATCGTGGCATACGAAGTGTCAAAGACTATCAAAACTTCTATCTTTGAGCAAGGTAACCCTCATCTTTCTCACCCATCGTATCACCCACCTACGTGGGCTTCATCTTCTCTTTAGCTGTGAGGTAAATCGAGGCCTTCGAGCTCGGGTAAGTGGGGGCCCGGCCCACTCTGCTAACAGACGAATAACAGTAGAAGCCTTTAAAGATAGAGATAGAGATAGAAATACAATACTGGCGATAAATACATTAATTTAGAGGTTTCGATCCAGATTTGGGATTAAGGTAAGCGGAGTTGTTACTTGGATTCAGAGCTGTCGCTCTGTTGGTGCTGATCTGCACTCTCGTGCCGTATATCCGTTCCAGGTGCGCAGTCCACCGTCCCAATTTAGTTTTTTCTTTTTTTTTTGGTAACTTGTTTACTTCTTCTTCAAAGCCGATCTTCTCGGTTCGTTTAGATTTAAGATTCTAAGCTTCCTGATCTAGTGATCGTGGAAAAAAGCTTTTTTTGTGATTAATTTTGGGATATCAATGGTTTTTGCGGTAGATTAGAGGCTTTCAGTAGGGCTTGCTAAGTTTTCTTTTACTTGAATTGGATTTTGGAAACGCAGTGGCATCATCCTTGTGAAGAGTAATTGGGCTCCGGGATTGAGAAGTTACAAGATTGTTGATTCGGTTGTTTTTAGGTTTCCTGTTTTAACATCGTTCTCTACTCGCTGGAATTGAAAAGGCGTTGCTTTGCTTAATTGCATTGTTTTAAGTAGTTTTCATTGTCTTAGAGAGGTCAGATCCACATGGGGAAGATGACTCAGATCTGTGCTTAAATTCTTGCAAAATTTTATTGGTAGTTTGAAACTGAGTTACTAATTTCTGCAAACGATTCTTTATTTTATCTGATGGGCTGTAGCTGTGAGCTGGATGAATGAGCGATGCAGAGATCACGTAAAGCTCTTCTGCAGAGAAGAGCTACTTCCAGTGCAGTTGGAATTTCGGGCAACAAGCATCTGTATATCAAAGCTTCTCTGGTGTTTCTATTATGGGGTGTTATCTTCGTTCTCGGCCCCTTGATCATTCATGGAGATGGTTATAGAGGTAAATTTTATGTTGCGGAGTAATTTTCCTTTTTCTGCTTATATAGTTTTATTCATGGCTACCTAATGCCACCTTTGTGCATGCATAACCTATTGTACAAAGGCACCATGATTTTCCCTGATAGCTTGGATGACAAGCAAATGCTTTGCCATACAGCAGATCTAGTGGTCAAAGCTTGTATTGGCTAATGAGGAGGGGTTAGGCTTAATGTTTTCTCATTATTACCTAAATGTACAGAGTGAAGTCCTGCTCATTGGATCTTCTTTTACTGTTCATATTGATGGCTGTTGTTCCAATCTGACTGCCTAAATATGGAGGATGAAGCCTCTCTTATAAGGAAAGATTTTATGCTGTAATCCACGTTTATTCTATTACAAGATGAGATGCAAAAATTAAAAGAAAAAGTGTCTTGTTCTCTTTCTTTTATGCTTAAAGACAAATACATCTTCATGCCCTTCTTTATGCCTAATTTCACAAACTCATTTTTGACTGATTTATGAAATTCCGATTTTGATATGAACACTCTTCTATTTGATGATCCTACTTCCATTTATGAACTTAATTTCTCATGGGCCTTTTGCATTTATATTGCAACTATGGTTTAGGAAATGATGATTTGATTTTTGTGTCTTTTGTAAAAGTGAATGATTACATTTGAGGGATTTGTGGTGTATGACATTAATCTTAATTTCAAATTATGTTCGGCCAAATGATAGGCCTTAACAAATTGAATTGTTTTCTAAGATCTATTTTTTGTTTACAAGTACCAAATGCACCCATACAGTCATATGATTTGTCTATTCTGTTGACATATATATGCTAAATTGCTTATACGTTAACACTGCAAAATTTCTAGGGCAGTGTTTTAAGTAAGTCTTCTAGCTTCCTAAATTTAAGGTGAAGAGAAAGCATTGTTTTCAAATCTAAATGATCATTGTCGCTATTATGGGACATTTCTTATTGTATTACAGTGTCTGGTGAGAAAATATTTTAGAGCATCAAATGGACAACTCATTCAGTGAAATTATCACCAGTGATTAGGGGACACATTACTTTTTACTCGTATCCAGATAAAAAAAATAGTTTAAAATTGCATCCTTTCAAGAGTTAGAAACTGTTTTTTTTTTACTACTTCGATTGGAAAACTTTGCAACAATACTCATAAAGTTTGCAATTCTTAAAATCATTCTAATTTAGCACTGGATAAATGCAGGCAAATTATTGAAGCACCTAAAGAATGAAAGTGGCCAATTACTATATTTTTTGGTTTATTCTTAATTTGATTGATAATTTTTTTTCTGAATGGTTTTGCTAAAGTGTTTATGACCATCTTCTCAAGAAGGTTCTCGTAAGAAGCTGACAGCCTTGCGCTTGGTTGATTATGCAGTCTCTAGGATTTGTAAGAGGCTGCAGATTCTGTGCAAGCCCTGCTTTTATCTGAGATGAAGTAGCACGTGTGCCTGAAAAGTCCAAATAAGTCCAAACGCATATCCACACCAATCACTTGCATTTTTTTTGAGAAACGTAAAAATGGAGCTCGAGTTGGAATCCAAGGAAGGCTTTATCTTCAAATTTTGTGAGGATTTTTATCTAATTGATTAATGATGAGTATAGATATGCAAAGCATTGATAAAAATCAGGCGCTAGACAACTTAAATACATTTGCGTTCTCTTGGAAATATGAGGATGAAGATGCTAAAATCCTCTTGAGCAGGAGTGAAGGTGATAGGATGCCGATGTTGTATGCTCATCGAAAATAGTTGAGCCTCATTTTTTTTAATAATTACCCACTTCTTGTATAAAGGTCCATCTGATCATAGGGCAGCCCCCCCCCCCCCCCCCCCCCACCTTAAATTCAAATATTTACTTATTAGGAGACCTATTTGACCTTTTGCCCCTCCTGAAATATCAATTTTGCCCCTTCGGAAATATTACTTTGTTCTTCGTTACCCTAGCCCCTCCCATATTGGGCCTAAGAGGTCGGTTTGTCACCGCTCAAAAAAGAGGCTGGTTCTGCCCCTGCATCTGATTAAAACTTATAATTTCATAAATAGAATATGCTCTCACTTAAAATGTTGTATTTTCCTAAATCGAATTGTTACTATCTTATAAGATTTCTAGAACAAAATAGAAGTTCTTAATTAAGTCATAAGTCTTATCTCATCCTAAGAAATTTATATTGATAAAATCCTTCACAGTCCTTTAGGATATGTTATTTCACTCGAGTCCTTTCAATTGGAAGCTTCTTGTTTATGTTTACAAGGCTCTGGGGGAACTATGCTATTTAATTTAAAAATATTCAAGCTTTTTTTGTGCTTAAGACGACATTGGAATTTATATTAATGAATTTCATCACAAAATTCATAATTATTAGAGTTTGAGGTTGACTAATACAAAATTATTTTTTAGGGTTATCTATTCTATGTGGCTATCATTTCTAGAATGTAGGGAGGCAACTTTTTAGAATTAAATGAAATCATCTCCAAGCCATTCTTGGTGAACTAAAAAGTTTTCCCATAGACATGGTGCATAAAAACATGATCTCCTCATTTTGTTGGATGGTTAAATTTCAATGGATTTTCTTATTAAACGTATGTTTTTACAACATCAAAAAAACTTTATGTTGTTCTAGAACTTCAACATTAACTCAATTACTTGTACTAATATTATTGGATGATGCCCTTTTTGACCGCATAGCTCAATTTAAGAGAATTTCCTAGTCGTGCGTTGTTTATTTAAGGAAAATATTTTGTGGGTCCACCTCATGCTCTAGCTTAGATGTGATTGAGGAAGAACTCGCTGCATTCTCAAAATATTTTCCAGTTGATGAGATCTACCAAGGCCTTCTCTGTGTTCGGGCTGAACCTCTGAGGATGTATGCAACTTTTGTAAGACTGCTGCTCATAGGCTTTCTTGATGTTCATAAATCCACTAGAGAAATATAGGGACGTCTTAGGACTATTGTTTGATGATGTTCTTGATGACTTTAGTCCTGTATGAAGGGGCCACTAAAGAGACTTGATTAATTCCTTAAGACTGTTGGTCTAAGATCATGATGATATTGTCCTACATAGAGAATCAAATAGAATCCATTACGAATCAATTAAATTCTTTTATTGTTTCCATTAAGAACAAGTGACTTTGCTCTTGGTTGTGATACTCAGGTTGGCCTCAAATTGTTTTTGCCCTTTTGTGTTTGGTTTTTATGATGAGGATTGGGATAAAAGATTAGATTTCTTATTGTAAACTTGTAAGAGTTGTATGAGAGAGTTGTCATGAGTTTGATTTTGAAAGATGAATCTTCTTAGGATTAGTTGGCTTTTGTTATGACTTCATAGATTCTAGAAAATTTCTTTTGAGTATGACTCCCTTATGTGGGATACATTCGAGAAATGATAGTTTGGTCAAGGTTACCATTTAAATAGTGCAGGAAATTTTATGGAATATCCCTTCCGGTGTTGCACTATATATAGGATCCTACACCAGTACCATAACATAAATTTTTAAACTAAAGTATGGCGAGCCATTTGGGTTTTCTTGAAATGATGAAAAATTTCCTAAATAAGAAGTTACCATTATTAATGTGTTTTGGGATTTTATTTTTGGTGATTTTTTATAGATGATAGTCCAATTCTTTCAGAAAATGTCTTTTAAGGTCTTCTTGACCCTAATGTTCATAAGCAAGATCTCTAGCAAGTTGATTAGTTGACGAAGTGATAAATATACTATCAAGATACCATGTATAATAATGTGTGAGTTGATGATGTTCTGTGGGTGCAATCAATGATGCTAGATGAATTGGTGCAAATAATGAAGATGATTGAGTAGAAGATGAAGCCAGATGTAATGCCTGTGTGTCAAAAATTAATAACACACTACTACATCTTTGTTTTTTAGTCATTTCTCATAGTGTAATGAGCTATATTTTTTAAATTGCACAAATTATTAAAAATGGATAATTTATTACTATTTTAGGAATGTGATAAAATATCTGGAAAGCAAAAAAAACTAATACCACATAATAAAATATACGATTACTCTATCATTCATGAATTGTAATGAAGACAATCATTTTAGAAAATCAAACATCATGCCAAAGAAAATAATTATATTTGTTAATTAAATTTCCATGTTATAGCAATTCATAATGTTAGGATAAAATGATAAATTTTTGAACTTTGGCTTAGATATAATTAAGCACTTTGTTTACTGATAAATTATAATTTTTTTCATTAATAGCATCTTTTTCTAGTCATCTTCAACTATGTTAAGTCTAAATGAAAATACATTTTCATTTCCTTTATGTCCATCTCATATGTTATAGAGTCCTTTATACATAAAAGCAGCCCTTGCAATGTCACATTAGTCAAAATAATAATAATAATAATAATAATATAAGTTAAGTAACAACCAAAAAAAATACTCTAACACATAAATAAGACATGTTGTTTTGTTCAACTGTATTTAGCTATACTAATAGCATGATAGACATGCCTCGCCAGTTTATGAGCAATAACCAAAGTTTGAAATTGTGCAATCAGATGCTGAGATGAGGTGTTAGCCTTGTGGTATTTTGTGGGATGAGTTGTTAGCCTTTGTGAGATGAGGTGTTAGCCTTGCGGTATTTTGTGGCATAAGCCTTGTAGTTAAATCATTAAAATAAATGCAAAATGTGAAACATTAACTAACATAACATCAAAGCAAGATGTCAAATTAAGATCATTGAAAGACATAGTAAGGCCATTAAATGTCACACAAGACTCTAAGTAATAATAAATAAAATATTTCTCTTACTCCCAATTCAAAATAAAGATGTTGTTTAGGGTCTTAATTTTCTTAATTTAAAAATCCGTCTACTCTCATCTCTTAAGAGTCTTCATTAGAATCATCATGGTAGCTAGTTGCTTTCTCTCTTCCTTTATCTTGAGCTATGTCAAAATCCTTAATTTTCAATCTTAATCACCTTTATTTTCAATAATCAGAAAATAAATTTGCAATAATGTCCTAGAGGGTTGTTCAAAGAAAAAAAGATTGCATAATAAAAACTCACGAATTGGTGAGAGTTGCATAACCTTAACAAGCATGAGAATATGGCCAACATAATTGGGATTTAGATATCGGCCATTTTGGTGGTTGTTTAGATTGTCTCATTTTGAGCACCAAATGCTTTTTCAGTCATCATATTTTGTCAAGTAACAATAAACCAAACATTTGTAGATTTTATCTAGATATTGAAGCAAGCAGGCCCCTTAAATCGTTTCTTGGGTAACCATCTGTTATTCTTGCTCTACCAACTTCATAAGGAAGAGTATTCTATTTTGTAATATTTGACGAGGATGCAATATCATGAATATTGTTCATTCGGATGGAAGATTTACATACATACAACTCGATTCCTATGTAATTACATATCTAACTTCAAAACTTCAATTGTTTACTTGTATGCCATCTTACCCATGCATGAGAAGTTGTATTTCACTTTATAAAAGTTAAGATACTACCATTTTTTATGTGATGTGAAATATTTGGCTGGTATTAATGTAAAAATCAAAGTTCTGGTTGTAGATATGTAGCAAAATAAGAATTGTGTGGTATGTATAGTGCCCCTGGTTTTTTTTTATCCGCTGGGCATTGTGCGAACTACTTAGTGATAGCACTGATCAAGTTTCTCTTATACATGTCCAGATGTGCTCGCCGCTGTGGTCGATGAGTCTGACGTCGGTGTAGTTGCTTCACAACCTAGTTCAGATTCCAATCCCAATGGTTCTTCCGAAACCATAGAAGCCGCTTCCAATAAGGACATACAAAAAATCCCTTTTTTTGAATCTCAAGTTACCAAGGAGACCCAAAAAGTTCATGTTGGAGGTCAGATTTCATCAGGCCTACCATCATTTCCCAGAGAAGAACTTTTAAGTAAAGAAATCCCAATTCCAAACCTTAAGACGGAATCATCAAATCCTTCACAAAAGAACGGTAGAGTATCTCGCGTTGCTCCTCCAAGATTAGATGAGTTTAAAAACAAAGCATTCACCGTCAAAGAAAGCTCGGTCTCAAGCCAGCCCAACACTATCTTCCATCGAGTCGAACCCAGTGGAGTAGAGTACAATTATGCATCTTCTACAAAGGGTGCAAAGGTTTTGGCCTTCAACAAGGAGGCTAAAGGCGCTTCAAACATACTGGATAAAGATCAAGATAAGTATCTTCGTAATCCATGCTCAGCTGATGATAAATTTGTTATAATAGAGTTGTCAGAGGAAACTTTAGTGGACAGTTTGGAAATTGCAAATTTTGAACATTACTCCTCCAACTTGAAAGATTTTGAACTTTTCAGCAGTTTGGTTTATCCGACGGATAATTGGGTAAACCTTGGAAATTTCACTGCTCAGAACGTAAAACATGCTCAGAGATTCGTTCTTCCAGAGCCCAAGTGGGCAAGATATCTAAAATTTAACCTGCGAAGCCATTACGGATCGGAATTCTACTGCACTCTGAGTGTTGTGAATGTTTATGGTGTGGATGCAGTGGAGAGGATGCTGGAAGATTTGATAGGTGTTGAGAATAAAAAACTGGAACCTGAAGAACCAAACTCTGACAAGATTTTAACCAAGGATTTAAGTGATGGCGATGATATAAAAAATGAACATCCGGCAGAGATTGATTACGAACCGAAGAATGAAAGCCCGAAGGTGAAGCCAGAGGTATCGAAAACTAACGTTATAGATCCGGTCGAGAACAGACCATCACAAGTTGGAAGGATGCCGGGCGATACTGTTCTTAAGATACTTATGCAGAAAGTCCAATCGTTTGATGTGAATTTCTCTATCCTCGAGCGGTATATGGAGGAACTAAATAGCAGATATGGGCACATGTTTAAAGAGTTGGATGATGATATGGCTGCAAAGGATTCTCTTTTGGAGAAAATGAGATTGGAAATTGATAATCTTCAGAAAAATGGAGATGTGTTTGTATGTAATTCTGATCTGTCAAGTTTTGCTTGCCTTATCTTTAGATAAAAGTGCCAAAATAGTCCCTGACTGTTCATATTGCATCATTTCTCTCCCATAGTTTATAAAAATATCATTTTAGTCCCTGTACTCTTTAAATTGTGGCTGAAACAGTCATCCGTGGAGACTATTTCAGCCTATATTAAAAGTGTGCAGGACTAAATCGACACCTTGCAAAAATTCAGGAGATTTATTTTGACATTTTTTCTCGTTATCTTTACTGATTACTCATTTAATTTTGTTGGTTTTGGAAGGCTGCTAAGATTGGAGGTCTCCTCTCATGGAAGCTTGCACTTTCATTGCAGTTAGAGCAGTTGGCCAAAGAGAGTGCTCTTCTCAGGTTAGACTTGTGCCTGGCAGCTTTCGTGGTTGTAGAATTCATCTTACTAGAATGTTTATGGAATGAATTTATTTTCTCCAGTCATAACATTCATCATAGATAATATGATAATGGAATATTGGCATACATACCACTCAATTCCTATGTACTTGCATATCTAACACCTAAACATCAATTTTTTGCATGCATAATACCACTTTACCTATGCATTAAAAGGTATTGGGTGGTCTGCATAGATAAGGTGTCATATATATGTAAAAATTAAATTTTTGATGTTAGATATGTAAATACATAAGACATGAGTGGGTATGTATGTAAATCTTAACATTATTATTGTCAGCTCACCTTGAACTGCAACAGTGATATATTATTATGCTAATAATGTGCAGATCAGAGATGGAAATAAGCAGAGAAGAGCATGCTGATATGGAGAACAAGGGTGTGGTTGTTTTATTAATAAGTTTTATATTTGGCTGTGTGGCATGCACTAAATTATTGATAAATATGCTCATTTTCATTTGTAGAATGCATGATTCTGACAAATTTTGTAGAACCAGTTCTGCTTGGCTTCTCTTGCTCTTTAGCTGCAGCTTAGTGATCTTCATCCTTGTTCTGTAATTTTCCAAATTGTTGTAAAATATGAGGTATTTTTGTTATTTCAGTTTTGTGGTGGGACTTAATAGTTATTTTTTTGGGAGTTTCTTTTATTTCACTTTTACTCTAATTTGCAAAGACTCGATTTTTATGACTTTGTTTATGGGACAATTGCATAGAGACCATGAATATTGTCATTTGAGGTGGGATTTGAAAAAAAGAATGGAATAGAGGGGTTGAATTGTAAATAGTGTTTTAATTGAATCCATCTTTTATTTTTTTGTAATAGGGTACAAATTAAAAATAAATTAGTTAAAGATGGATTGAAATTTTATATTTAATATTTTTATTAATATTAAATTTAATTTAAATTCACATATTTTAGAATACATAGTTTGGGGGAGTGATCTTGATGCATATAAAATGTTGATAAATTTACATACAATATAAATTTATAAATTTTTTATACAACAACACAAAACCTTTATCCCAATAGGTGGGGTTGGTTACATGAATCTTATTTTTTTCATTTAATTTTAATAAATTAAGATTATGTTTTATGCAATATGCCAAGTCTTCCTAGCTCTACCTCAGCCTTTCTAAACATAAGTTGAATCTAAAATATGTACTCTTCTAATCAGATCATCAGAAGGTCGAGGTCTACTGTGATCAAATTATCTAAAATGATTCTCCCTAATTTTGTTAGTCACTGCAGTTACACCAATTCTATCAAAGTAAAAATCTTGATTTATTGTCCTCTGCAGGGTTCGAGCCCGCCACCCGCTGCGTGAAGAAAAATACTCCTACCAATTAAGCTGTGCTTATTTTCTTCAAATTTAAAAAATTAAGTTATCCATAATATATATATATATATATATATATATGTCTAGCAAAATGGCTCGTTGTTCGCGAACAGTTCATGTTCGGCTTGTTCGCTAAGTTAACGAACTGAACAAGAACAAAGATTTGTTCGACCGTGTTCAGCTCGTTTTGATTCGAAATACTACTCATCAATTTTATATATATAT